TCCATGTCTGGACGCTCAATACCGGCGATGGCATGCGCGACGTCGAATGAACGTTGAACGTAATTACGAACTGACTGTGGCCAGTCTCTCTTCTTCTGGACAGGAGGTGGTGTTGATTGAGGGGGTGATTGCTGGGGGATTACTGCTGGGTTATACATTATGGGTGGGGCTTGATTAAATGATTGTCGAACTTGCACTGGATGATAAGCTGGGGCAACTATCGGCGCGACTGTAGAATTTTTGTCAGAAACCAGTATATGGATTTTGGAAGAAAAGAGGATTGCTCACCTTGCTGATAGCCATATGAGCCTGTCGTACCTGGAGGCGGTGGAATATTAGAGTTCCATGGTGAAGCCATCGTATTGTACATATAGAACTTATGCTTTTACGCTCTTAGATATTAGTGATGCGATACAAGAAACGCGACTGGGTCTTCAATAAGAAAGATTCTTGAGAAGATGGTGTGTAGAATGTATCTGAATTTTTTTAGAATAGTTTTCGAGGTTGTGAAGTGGTGGAATGTTTTGTAAGAATGGCTGGTTTGCCCGGGTTGAAATGGACAATTAACCGAATGAGTTGTTGTACTATCGATCAGTCACGAGACAAGGTAGAAAAGGCGGAAAAACTTGCTACGGTAGTCCAAGTAGTCAGGATTGCCCAATTTACAGCAGTGATGATTGCATCACGATAAGGGTATGATAGTGAATGTGAATTGTCTTAACCTTCCACAAGGACCTGCAGATGCTGCAATCGTTTGTCCTCATCGTTCCCAGCAGATGTGCACTGCATTGTCCTTAGACAGATATCAGAAAAACTCTCAGTACATGGCTTGCGCGAACGAATGTTTTTAAAACATTTAGACCTCACAACTGCTTTGAGGCCTTTCTATTTGCCAGATGAGCTCAACCTCTTTGTCCAAGACAATGTTGGGCTTTATGAGGGGTAAGTGTTTGCTCAAGCAAGCAATGTGGGAAAGAGGCATGCTTACCTAAATTGTAAATAGGAAATACAAAATTCCTGATCATCAGAATGGTCAGGTCTACTTAACATCTCATCGAATATGTTATGTAGACAATGATGATCCAAGAAGGAATTCTCTAGCAATAGATCTCAAAGACGTTGATCGTTATGAGTTTTACGTAAGAGCTACTAGCTATATTCTTGAGGCTATACATAGTTAATATTGTTACAGGCTGGTTTCTTGAAATCATCCGCCAAGATTACTCTTGTCCCGAAGCCTTCGAAACGATCCTCTGTCCAAAATCGAAGTGAAACATCATCTCCATTATCACGAACCGATAGTCCTTTCCATCTGCCAGCTTCCGAGCCTACACCCGCAAGTAGTGCCACATGGATTTGTCCAATCTGTTCTTTCTCGAATCCCGTCCCCTCGAATTTCGATCCAGTCACATCTAATGCAAACACGCCTTTGCCCCCATGCTTAGCATGTGGTATCAAACCTCCATTTGCTCTTATTCTTAAGGCATCTATATCGAGTGCGGGCAACAGACCAACTCCCTCTACTACAACCCCGGTTAAAACACCCTTACCAGTGAGAGGTCGGCCAGATGCCCCTCGTCCGCAATCTGATTCTTGGGATACACCCTCAAGTCAATTTGGAGTTGATCAGGACGAGTCTCCTTCAGGTGGATCCAATGAGGCATCCTTTGCTTGTCCTAGATGCACGTTCTTAAACCATCCATCGCTCATGGCTTGTGAGCTTTGTGGGGCTCCACTACTGTCACAAGACCTCCCAACTGGAATAAGTCCCTCACAACGACGTATGTTGTCCCCAGGCCCTACATTGAATAATTTGCCAGCGCCTGGGACGGAAACCAATGAAAGCATCAAATTATCATTTCGAGGTGGAGGAGAAAAATTGTTCCTCGATCGTCTCAAATCATCCATGACACAGCGTAAATGGCTTCTTCAAAATGCTCCCCCGATACCTAAAATCAATCGTCATGTTAGGACAGATAGTGGATCAGGCTCGGGTAGTTCTACACCAAATGGTGAGCGGACGAAAACGGTTGGAATCGCAGGCCTGGAACAAAGACGTCTTGAAGTCCGTAAGAATAATGAACTTGTCATAGGAAATGCTTTTGAGGACCTCGACGCATTGATGGCGTCGGCCAAAGAGATTATTGCTCTTGCCGAATCATTTGCCAGCAGTAATAATACGAATGGAAATACTGAATCTAATGCAATTGCAAGTGCCCTTGGTTTGGTAACGACGAAAGATATGCTTGGTGGTGGGAGCAATTCTGAGTCATTATATATTTCAGAGTTGTCAAGGAATCTTGCAGAATTTCTCACAGATGATGCTAGAGGAATCCTGCGCAAGACTGGAGGCATTATTAGTCTGGTTGATCTATGGGCCACTTTCAACCGTGCTCGGGGTGGCGTTGAACTCGTTAGTCCGTTGGACTTCGAAAAGGCTGCAAGATTGTGGGAGAAGCTGAAGCTTCCTGTACGATTGAGACAGTTTCGTAGTGGAGTACTAGTGGTCCAAGGCAGTGATAGGACTGACGAAAAGACAATCAAAACTTTGCTGGCATGGTTGAGAGATTTGCACGTATTCCCACCGGAGAAGGAAGTGCCATGGGACTGGCAAGAATTTGGTCAGGGGGTTACATCACAAGACGCCGCAGAACGTTTTGGATGGAGCATAGGAGTAGCTGAAGAAGAGCTTGAAATGGCTGAGGAAAGTGGTGCTTTATGTAGGGAAGTAAGTATAGAAGGAGTGAAGTTTTGGGAGAATTGGATCGACTCAGCACAGTCACCAGCACCCAATTTACAGCTAGCTGATGTTGGCAATCTTGCTGCTAGCTACATATAACATATACATGGATTACATACTTTGAATAGCAAATATATCAAGTAAACCTGTGAGAGGTTTCTGTACAGCTTTCTAAAACAGAAGTCGAAGAGTTTTCAACTGATAAAGTATGAAGTATGAAGTGTTTCCCTCCTTCATCTCCAGTGGTGAAGTCTTCTAAATACTCATCTTCCCGCATTTTGTACACATTTCAGCCCGGCACAAGATTACCTAACTCTATTAGTCTCGTTTTGCTCTCCACTTCTTTTTTCTTCAGAATTCCGGCCAAAATGTAAATTTTTCAACGATTCTCTTTTATCGATTTGTAGCTCTTTACAACAGCTGGGAAGCCCAGATTACCATACGGGTAAAGCAGATTAAATTCAACTTTCCATTACCATCTTGCATAGGTACCAGAATTTTGGATACAAATCTCCATCACAAGTGAGAGCACTTCCAGCTACCAAACTTACTAACATGGAGTTTCACGATTATTGACGAGATCTATTTCAACCAAAATAATAGGTTATTTAGGAACATATGAGCAAAACATTTCCGTCGAAATTCATGCTCACTTAGATAGTGTAGAAAGAATAGTGGAGAGTCAAGAATGATAAGCGAGGAGCTACATAGGAGGTAGGGTAGGAAGGGTAATGGATAACTAGCATTGATAGTACAGCAATTATATGACATTGACATCCGATGAATTTGCTAGCTGGTTTGTTCTTCGTGTAATATTTCGTCTTGCAATGCGGTATTGACTTCGTACGGGCATCTACTTTGCAAATGTAGCCAGGTACGGCTAGTAAGACCATCATGCTTTTGTACAGATTGTCTTCTTCTATTTAGATCACTCTCTGTTTCTGATCTCTTACCTGTTCAAAATATTATAAAATATCTTCACATATCAAATCTTCAGAACTCCAGGCAAGCAACCGATATAACTTACATTATCCTCCATCTTCCGTCCACTATCAAAGCATCAGCCAAATAACTTCTCTCTGTCCTGAAATACGCCCAAGAACCAAAATGAACGCAGATATGAGCACACCATTCACCTCCTCATCATTATCAATGGTATCAGACTCGGATAACTTCTACCAAATCCCCCCCAAATTCGCCCCGTCGAGATCTCCAACCTCAATTTCTAAACCACAATTCCAAGGTCCATTACCTTTACCCAGACAAGATATCCTGAGTCCTGAAAAGGAGCGAAAGAGCGATAGAGTCATGAAGGGATTCACTGGACTCAATTTTCGCCCGGGAGTGGAAATCGGAAATGGGGATAAGAATTTAACTTCTGCACCGAGTGTGAAACCAACTTCGATCTCCGGTCCAAAAAATTCGAGTTCAAATCATCTTTATGGGTTTTATTGGACTTGCTGTAGTAAGATAGCCGAAAAAGCCAAGGTTTTGGATAGCATGAGAAGTATAACGGAGAGTGCTGTTCAGGGACTTGTAGGTTATATTTCCTTTATTTATGGGAGGAACGGAGTGATGGGGTGAGCTCTTGCTGATTATGACTTGATAGTGTAATAAAAAGAATTCGCTTGCGGAGAACACGTGTGGAGAGTGTGGGCACTTGGTTTGTCGAGAATGTGAAAAGGTTGCCGAGTGTGCGTAGGTGAATTGTGGATGGGGAGTGCGGCATGTATGGCGAAGGATTGTGTAGGGAGTGGAGTAGAGAAGTGGATCGCAAAGGAAATACAACCAACTGATTGACAATCAGTGATCATTATCATAAGGTAGAAGAATTCCAGCACAGTATTTTTACGAGGTTTGCAGCAGTGATTCGCAGTAATTCGCAGTATAGTAGAATCGAAGTCGGTATCTTGTGTGTACAATTATAATCACTACTGGAAGTAAATTGCAAAGATGCGCTCTTGTATGACTCGAATACAACTTTCTTACTAGATTAGATGACTGTGTGTTAGGATAGATACTTAGATTGAGTCAGCAGAGAACTAAATCTTCTGACTCTGTGCATAATCATGTATGAATCCGCCAGATCAAATATTCATAATATATAGTATGCGAGCCAAGACTAACTGGTTGATGTCCTTACCCTTCCCCAGCCCAGTCTGGAAACCAAATCAAAACCCAAACCAACAACTTTTCTAGTCCAGACTTAAAACTAAGAGCAAAGACCATAATTCAATAAACAAAAACCAACAGATCAACCATGCAAGCCTCTCACGAAGAAACATTCAAGTGCTCTCGAGGACACGTTCACAAAGTAAGTGACCATTGCCGTTTCCGCACATATATCACTAACATCTATTGAACAGAAAGAGGAAACTCACACTAAATACTGTATTCGTGATTGCCCTGACTATTGCAAATGCCACTGGCACATCTCTGAGATAGGTCACAACACCCAAGAGCTTGCAAGGCGCGAAAGAAGAGTGTCCGAAAGGGAGATAAGAGTGGCCGGAGAGGAAGATCGATTTGCTATGTATGTTGAACATTGGAACAATGAGATCTCAATAAGAGAAGCTGTGGTATCATCAAGAAAGGCTTCACTTGAAATAGCGGAAGAAGAATTCGAGAGAAAGAAAAATGAGCTTCTTGCGCCCAAAAATTGGTTCGAACAGATCGAAGAATGGTCCCAAAATGCATCGGAATGTGCTCAAGACGGCTCATCGTATGGCCCCGATGGCTGGCTTCAACCAACCCGTGCGCTAGATCCGGGAGAGAGACCACATCACCGCCGTTCATCCCACGGTGACCATCCAACGCGACCGCATGAAGAATTAGGTCGTCCGAGAAGAGCCAGTTCCGCCAGTCATCGTCATCACCATGATTCGAATCAACCTGCTATACGAATAACACCTCCAGACCCCAATATACACTCAGTACCCAATAGCTGAGGTAATCGTTATGAGTATTAAGCCCCACTCAAGATGATTTCCTCGCCACAGCAACCTGCATTGTTTCAACACATTTAAGTGATGTTTTCGGGTTTATTTTTTCTTGGAAGGGTAGTATGAAGGATATGAAGGATATGAAGGATATGAAGGATATGAAGGATATGAAGGATATGAAGGATATGAAGGATATGAAGGATATGAAGGATATGAAGGATATGAAGGATATGAAGGATATGAAGGATATGACATTAGAGCTTTGTGATTCCTGTATCGAGATTAGCAATGAGCGAGACTTTATTAACACATTTAAATACACTACCCGCAAGTGATGCCATATCTCTTGCAAAAAACTGAGTATCGGTGTAATCAAATCAAATCACTGACACGAGTAGATTTTGGAAGTAATAACCTTAGTGATCGATGTTACTTGAACAACTAATGACTAAAGAAATCCAATAGAGGGCTGTTAACTTAGTATGAGACTTCTGGTATTCCAGAAATAATGATGCAAATCGACTAAATTAATACCAATTCTGCCAAAATTGAATCCAGTGAATTCACAAGGATGGGGGTGATTTTCCAAAGCAGCAGAAAAGATTACTTTCTGGATTCTGATCCTATACAAGAAGTATCTCGATGGTCTCTTATCATAATAAGATACGTGTAATGGCATTCTTATGTTTCTTGTCGGTGTTTACACCTCTCCCACACGTATGTGGGCCTGTAAGTCCTCTACTACAACGTCTCAAAGTATTGCGAAGACGAAAACGGAATCATGGAATTGTTAGTCACACTTACCAAGAAATTTGGGGTTTGCTTGAGTCAATGTTGCTGGAAATGTGGAACTTGGATAGAGACGAAATGCAAGGGATAGAGTAGGGGCGATCGAGTTGAGGAAAGTTTCAAGCGAAAGCTTTGCGCTGTTAGCATTTCAAGAAAAGCTCCAAATATTGGGAGTTTTACGTTTCGGTAATGGGTTCATGAATGGAAAATCAATTGAAAATGCAGATTAGAAGGTGATTTGATTTCACTTGGAGTATGTATAATTAGAAAGAAAGTGTTTATTAGGAAATATGTGAAATTTTTTGGGGATTGTTCTACTGACTGTTTTGATAGAAAAGACTAATGAAATAAAACGAAAAGGAATGAAGGAGGTTCGACTTACTTACCAGTAGCGTCGAGGGTAGACCCACAAAGCCTTGTCTTTGCCAAATTTCTCAACCATTCTGAGCTCCTTCTGTTTGTGCTGATACTTGAGGTCTTTTCTGTCTACGAAAATTTCCCGGGCAATTCTCTGTTTCTCAATGCAATGCTTACATCTTTTTGAAATTTTGGCACCAGGCAGAATCGTGACTTTTGGTATCTTGAATTTGGAGCCTGCTCTCATGGCTGCAAATTCATTATGGGAGGCCTCAACTCTGAACATCCTCATAAGATAGCTCCTCCAGTGGTTTCGATTTATGGGCAAGTCAAACTTGTGGTAAAGTAGACAGTCGGCATCTTGAAGAATGAATTCATCAAGATCTTGGAAGATGAAATTTGAAAAAATCACAGGTTCCATTGGAAGAACTAAGCCATTGGTAAAGTCGTGCCTGAAAATCGACCAAAATCCTGATTCTGGTGTGATTTGAGCTCTTTTGACAGCCCAAGGATGGATCAACCAGCTTGACATCTCTTCATCTACGCGACGCCAAGGCTTCCAATCCGCAGGCAGTGGAATTTGGAAGTATAGAAGGTTAGCTTCCGCTAGGTGATGATTTACAACGTGTACATCAAACCCGAGGCTGTCAAAATTGAAGATATCTGTATCTGGATTGAAAGGAACAGATGGCTGCAAAGGAAATGAAAAAGTTTCTTCGCGAATGCTTTCGAATTCAAGGGTCTGTTTATCTATACAATAAAAGTCTGAGAATTTTGCAGAGCGATACTTTTCAAGTGTTCCTATTGGCAAATTTCCGTGCTTGAATTCAATTTCCTTGGGCACAACAGCAATGTTGTGATAGTATGCAGCGACTGCGTTCCTACTTTCAAAGCAAGCCCAAAATGCAGCGGGCATACCACTGTAAGATACAATGTTGAGAGGGCAAAGAGCTCTTGGAATCAACGGCATTGGATCCCAATCATTCGCGTAGTTTGCCTCTTCCATAGGCAATACACAATTCTTGGATTCAATCACACGCGGAGTTACAGTGAGTCCCCAGATCATTCGTCTAATTTCCAATGGGAGCTTAGGGAAGAGGTGGAATTTTGTGTGAAATTCTGTAGGACCTTGAGATTGTTGGGGATTGTTATTGTCAGTCTCGTCTTCGACATCTAGTGTCATATCTGCTAACTCTTGCCAGGCATTTTTGAACTGATCTCGCTTTCTGATAACCTCAGGCTCGCCAGTAGATTTGATTGTTGATTCAACTTGGAACTCAAGCGCCAGGCTTGACAAGTCTTGGAATGTATCCATCGTGTATAGTAAATTGCGGATTTGTTGGGTAGAGTGCGTTGTGGTGCTGTGTATACTAATGATGATGCTTATTGTTGAGTATTGATGAAGTAACTGTGTAGCTGAATGATTCTGTATTAAAAAGATTCAAACGGAAACCCAACACTTTTATATTTCGTCTGAGGATTTTGTAGTGTTGTTGTTTTCGAGGTGAGCGATCTCTGTTCCAATTGCTTTGTCATTAACGATCCTTCATTCTTTGAGGACAGATTAAAGGACAATGAACAGCAGAAGGAACCTTTGTTGTAGTAGACAGAGGAAGACCTTGAAGGATGAATCAGTCTTGAGGACAAGGCAATTGGAAACGTCCACTTGTGATTGTGAAAAAGATAAAGAAATGCTCACAACAGTCGTATAATGATGTTGCACAAAAATAACTCTCCAACTATTGTTCTCTTTCTTCAGTTCGTTCCTTTCATTGTCCATTGCACCATCCACCAAAAGATGCCACCGAGATATTAAACTATGCCAGACACAGTGGCTGATATATCAGTCTGTCAGCTATCTGCTAGCTTCAAATTCCGGCAAACTCATTGGGGGAAAATTATCACCTTGGCGCACTCACCGATGAGCTGCTAACTAGCGAAGGCATGAATCTTATGGTGGTAGTTGCCGGGAATGAAAATAAACTTTCCTATATCCGTTATTTTAAGGACTTCTTTGACGACTTCTTCTGCGAAATGGCCTTTGAAAGATAAGATTTCCATTTCCGTGCCCCTCGAACGCACCCGATTCTTGACATTTCTGGAACAGTTGATTAGCTACTAATTGGTATGGAAAGGTACGACCTACCGATGATGTTAGATGTAAACTTCCGTTGCTGGCTCAGATGGGAAGATGTCCGCCAGTGCTGTCAAACTACTCACTGGTAAATTGCTCTCACGATAAACAATGTCATTATAGTGCTAGGCGACATGATAACAAAGATTAAACAATAAATCAACGAATAATCAATAAAGAACTGAAGGTATACTCAATGAAATAAGTCGCAGAAATTTGGAACTTTGAATGTCTTTAATGAGGCAGTAGAAGTAGCTTGCTAGATAGGTAGAAGGTCAGATACCACGAAAGAGGATTGGAAACACCAAGTTGTCATATCAGCGGAGGTTTACATTGACATGAAAGTCTTGAGACACATTCAAAAGAAAGAGCTTGTAAATCAGATTGTCCATTGATTGGGTGACGGATGCTGTTGAGGCTCACAATTTAGTCTGATCTTAGTCGGGCGTCGAGGGGTTCTTATCAAAATCAACAATGCTGAGCATCATTTAGACTGTATGAGAAGAGATTTATACCTTTTCTACAAGAACGGGATTTATTTGGTAGACGATGAAGATATAGGCGTGTAATGGTTGGCGTGTACAGATCCTCCTCATCCCTTGAGGTTGAGAAAGGATGAAGTCTACCAACTCGTAAGAGACAAGAGAGGATAATGAATGAAAACAGCTTGAAAATGAGAAACTCCAAGCTGATCGAAATAGTAAGAAAATTGAAACGATAATTGAACCTTAATGGGGTAATATCAGATTGATTTCAGATGACATTACTACTCTTCGAAAATGGATTCGCAATCAATTGCCTTCCCCTTCCACCAGAAAGAGAGGGATTGGGCCACTTTCGGAAAGAGAGGAGAAGAGTCTCGCATCGCGAGTATTGAGCTTCGTGTGCTAATGGAATTGAAGATTGGGCTGTGATGGATTGGAGTCTACGCGGAGTCTAGATGTATGTTTTCATAGTGTTCAGGCCGACTTTTGGATTTACTGGAATGAAAAGACTTTACCATATGCTCTGTCTGAATCAGTAATAATCCGCGAGCGAAGAGGTCGATTTGAAGCAAAGTTACTTTTCGATTGATTGTCTGACAGTATTTGTGAGTGGACGCATGTTACGTTGAAGACTTCGCGCTCCATATAAATTTTGAGTTAGAATTTCCTGCATACTGTTCACATCTTATCACGCGGCTTCTGCTTAGGTGCAGTAACAGTTTTACTTCATATCAGGGTCACTAAGTTTTGATATACAGGAGGGAAAAATCAAGGGGAAAGAAAAGATTATAATAATGGAAAAGGAAATGGATTATGATTCAATGAAGCCAAGGAAATAGTAAGGAGAGATGCTCGAGGTCGAAACACAGGTTGATAGATCGGGGATTTGAAATATGAGAACACAATTAGAAGATGAAACTATCTTCTTCTAACTAATGCCCCAACAATCTTCCTAGCCGTCTTCGTCTGACCTCTGCCTTGCAATCACTGCATTTGTCAGGTCTTGTGCGCTGGGTGAAAGCGGTAACTCTGGAATCCTGACTTCAGGGTGTCGTCGGTTCTCCTCTCGGAAAAATCCCACGACTTGTTTACGTACATATGCACAATGTTCAGATGAGAACAATTTGTGGCCTGTGACCGTGGGGTGGCAAGCAGAATCTTCGATAATACAGTGGGTCAGATTTTGAAAAGGAAAAGGTTCCTTGTGATCTCGATGCCATGCTCTGAGATATTGTATGAGGGGCATGTTGAGTCGTGCACCCTGGCTGAAACCAGGAATGATTTTGGATGGCATCGTGATGGATTCAATTTGATGCACGCTCTCACCGAGGGCTTCGACTGTATCGGTCGGATATCTTGCGTAGAGTCTGAAATCGAATTCATCTGTCAATTCTTTTGTCTTCTGGTGCCAGAATCTCACTCCAGATCGATTGTTGAATATCATCTTTTTGGGTGACGAAAAGACTCAGCTCTTGCTCGCCGACCTCGTCGACTTTGTTTTCATCTTGGCGTTGTAGTGACATTCTGAACAGGTCTTGAAACAAATCTGTGGCGATTTGCTCCTCTTCGTGTTCTTGTAATATTCTGGAAGACATCTTGTGATAAATCTAGGTTGATCCCTATTTCTGGTAGATTACTAGCTGATTGTATAAATGTCGACTTGATTACTCTAAAATTGTATTCTCAAGTATCTGTTTGATAATTCAAATGTCAAATATGGAAGCTAGGGATGCGGTATCTATAATTCTATAGCGAGTGTTGTTTCTTACTTGTTCAGAGAACAATATCGTGCTTGACCTCGAGTCGGACATAGAATCTCTTTCACGTACAAATTTAGCCATTACACATGAATTCAAATTCTTTCACTCCCAAATCGTTTTTATTTCTCTTGGATATTGTAGACTGCTGAGTGTCCCTATATTGTTTCCTCAACTATCGAATAGCAAGCAGTCCAACCGAAGCCAGTTGGTCCAACTCTCACCAAACAATCTCTGAACAGAGCTTCTTTATGATGCCACTGGCTCAACTACTGTAATAAGATGCAGCCATGACGTTGTTCTGCCGAAGATCCACGCATCTTGCCTATGTAAGAGGAGATATTTCCTTGCGATGTATTAGATAAACCAAACCCTAAGAGGGTGTATTTCTTTATGTCTGGCGGGTTGCGATAGGCTTAACGACTAATTTGACTCCTGTGTCGTTACGTGCGGGACCATATACGCCAATACTTTGAAGCCTGTTTTGATGTCCTAAACATGTGTTCTACAAGGAGATCAAGAAAAGAACAACGACTTTTTCTATATATACATACAATGCGTCTGAAAGCAACCCGTCTTTTCTTTTCCAGAAGATCATTCTGAACATACCGTAGAAAAGAAAAGATTAAACCCATCAATCATGTCATATAACTTTGAATCAGATATGGACTCTCTCTGCGAAGCTTTCGCAAAGTTGACAATGAGAGACACGTTTTAGCGCCTTCTCGAGGCTCTCAGATGAACTTCAACTTAAGATCTGGAAAGAGGCCATCGCCGAGCCTGTTGTCCATGATGTGACTTGGTTGTTGTCCCACGAAACCGAGATTAAGATTCCTGAGGTACTTCTTGGTATTGATTGGCTGAGCCATAATGAAGCCAAGAAAGTCTACAAGAGATTGACGCGCCTTGACTGTCCAGCGATCTTCTTCAACACCCAGCAGGACTTGGTATTGTTGAAAGACTCTGTCGACTTATTTACAGCAGCGTCGTACACGGACAAAACAGCTGTCAATTCTGTCCAATGCTCAGCCAGAATTTGCGACGTTAGACCACCCTTGATTGATATAGAGAAATACTTGGAAACAAGATCAAGGTGATCGGGTCGCTTTTCCATTCCGTCATCTGCAGACTTTCGTAGTCCAAGACCTGCAATGTTCGCGAAAGCATCGATTGCAAGATATCACGGAGCAAATGCTCTGTAAAGAAGGACTCAGGACATTCTTTGTAAAGCAAAATTGTAAATATCCTAGAATTATGATTCCCGAGATCATAATCAGAGTTCCTCCACAAGGAGACGAGTTGTGCTACGAATGCGAGGTGTTAGATGAGTGGTTGGCCATGGACCACGCATCAAGAATCCATGCGATTGTCAGCATCATTGAAGGAAACCAACAAACATAGAGAATGCGCCCAGCAGATCTTTTTGATATGACTTGTGAGGTCTTTCGAGTATACTATAAGCCCCCCGCCCCTGCCTAGGTGGTCACTCAGATAGATAGATAACCAAAGTAGCTGTACAATAGCTAAGAAATGAAAGAAAAATTCAAAGAAAATCCATTGACTAAATCGTGAAGTGTATCGTAATACTAGTAGTGACTATATATCGTATCTGTAGCTTACCTAATCAGTAAACATGTGACTGCTGCTCTCTCTTCAAATTATCGACATCAAATAGCACCTCTTGATGCATGGCTTTCGATGTTAACCTACGTGTGCTCCATTAACATTCTGTTAGGATCAAAAGGACGGCGATCAAATTCAACACATGCCGAATTACTAATATTCAGGGTCCTCAACACAGCGCTTGCACCACACCGTAAGCTTAACCTACGCGAAATTTCGACCCACCAGTCTGAGCTTACCTACCTCTTGGCACCGTTTCTTTGATCCTCAATTATTATCTCGTTGTTCCTTACAAACGTAACAAACCTGACTAACCAAACCATTTCAATCGCAGGAGGATAGATTGAGGGCAGAAATTAATGGTGTAGCCCTGTACTATGAGTGCGGCACCCATTATCCATCGAAGAAGAAGAACATACCCCGCGGAAAGCCGATGACGATGAATGGTTATTCGACGGGCAAAGAAAAGGAGAAGGACCGATATTTACCTGCGAAGAGAAGGGGAGGAGATTCGGGAAAATGGCTCGATGTGGTGGCACACGGAAGTTCTAGTGCCCTGTTGGCTTTGATTCTGAAATATGCTATCTCAGGTCAATACTGGAATTTGAACTTCTTCTTACTGGCGCTTCAGGTATGTTGGTTTGACAAAAGCTTCGTGCCTCGGGAAAATGCGCACACTGACATTGGGGTTTCAATAGTCAGGAACTGCTCTCGCAGTGATATGGTTATTGAAAAGGGGTGGATATCTCAAGGAATTAACAGGGCTAGAGTTCCAAAAATTGAAGACTTGTATGCGTTGCGCGATCTGAACGAATTGGGGATTGCAGATGCTAACCAGAATTCTTTCCAGGGCTTCCTCTAGCTGTACTACTCCTCGTCTCAAATTACATATCTTATAAGGCGCTTCAATGTCTTTCATTACCTACGTACATACTTCTTTCTACTACGACCATTTTCACGGTCCCCTACGTCGACAGCATTCTGTTCGGGACACCGATTCCTCCGTTCGCATTTAAATCCTATCTTTTAATATTCTCCGGCATAGTAATATCAGTCATTGCGGAAAACGCGCATGCAGAAGCAAGCTATGGGGACCGACGACTCGAACAAACATTGGAACCTCAAGATCCCGTCATGATATTATTTCTTGGATATATTTTCATGGTCATACACCTTTTATTGTACAGCACATATGAAGCATGGAAGGCAAAGATTGTGCCGAATCTCAAATTTGGTCAATGGGATAGTATGTCTTCTCTCCTTGTAGGAACTTAGGCACGGCTGGCTGACATTTCTTAGTTTTCCTACATAACCATGTGCTTATATTTATCATCGCATCAGCACTTTCCTTCCTCATCGAGGATTTCTCTGACGAGAACATGAACGATTGCTTCCCATCTTCGATACGAACATCGACCATCTGGGCCATAATTTATACCTGCTTTGGAGTCTTCCCTGTAATATTCTATTCCGCCGCAATTGTTCGAAAATCATCGTCAAGTTTCCATTCGATTGTCGAAGCTTCGAGTAAAATGGTAATAGCCTTGCTAGGAATGTACATTTATTCGAATCCGATAAACGTGGGCAGTGTATCCGCTATAGTGATAGGGTGCTCAGGCGGTATCCTGGGAGCGTGGTTAGAAGGAAAACAGCAGCAGGATGCGAAGGGAAAACGGGTATTACCTGTTTGAAGAAGAACTTTTTGAAATAGACCATTGTACAAGAAATGTATTGACAAAATGGGAGGGGGAGCCAGGCGTTAGAGCACGGTGTTGGGTGCGACTTGTATACTTTCAGTACAAAATCACTGATTATATTACTTACATATTGTATAGAGATCACAAATAGAGAGGATTGGAAACGGCCTAGTTACTCGTACCTTCATCGTTTTGCGAAAATATGAGTACAAAATTGGAAGAATTGGAAATACCAGCTAGGTATCTTTCATGCGCGGTAATAAATGCATATTTCATACCATCCCTATTTGTTACTTCGCCTTGCGTCGAGATAAGTGGACGGATATGCTTCTAGGAACTGATTGGGAGACGAATCACCACGTTCGAAAAGGAGGAAAGAATGCTGGATTCCATTTATTGTTCGCCCATATATGAGAACATAACTTTCAGTTTGACACTTAGTAAAAGTCCTACTGGAGTATCTGAAGCACCTCCTCTATTATTTTTCCTCTTCAGCTTTCATATAACACAATCACCGGTACCTTACCGGGAGTGTTCTTGAGTCGATAAAGTTAAGTTTCTTGAAGCCGGCTCGAGAAATATTTCGTTAATCCTTTTTTTTACTTGAGGGGGCTCGTTTACATGGATCGTTTATAAAAAAAACTGATTTGAGTTTGAAGGGTTACGATTAGCATGTAGTTCTCTGATACTTTTCTGTGGTATTGAAGAGTACGATCGAGAAAGGGCCACTGGGATGGATGTACCTCGCTCGCTTATGCATTTTTCATTTGATTGCAGTGTACTTGTGAGTTCTTCCTGACTTAATGGGTGGTAATGAGGTTCTTGAGGTGCCGGGCTGTCATCCCATGTTACCTCGTAATTGTAATTGTATTCACAATGTATAGGAACAATATATTCAGCTAATCACACAGATGAATATATGTATTCTCCGTATCTATATAATAGCCCCACCACTCCAGACACACCCAAAATGAAAACACAAAGCAACGCTGAATCCCACGAGACGACAACACACGATAGCGCAAAACATTTTCGCGGTACAGTCGATCTCAGTCCAATACGCCAATCCCAATGGTGGCGTAACAGCACTTCCATTGTTCGAATACTATCTCCTTAGATAAACTCGAGATGATGAGCGCACCAAACGCCATGGGGTATCCAATCAAACAAACAATCATGCAACCGTACCGGGCATTTCTGCCTTGCTTTCCTCCACTGGAATCTCTGTGGTCGAAACCGCAGCTGGCTTGTCGTTCTTCAAAGCATCGACTTCGAAACTTTCCATGGGTCGCAAGCCCCATCTGTTGAAGACAACAGAGTCGACTCCCCATCCGACGGCAGGTGTTGTTAACATTTTCTCGCCGGTGAATACGGCGTTAGCACCGGCCATGAAACATAAAACTTGTTGTTCTTCGCTCAATTCTCCTCTTCCGGCAGCCAAGCGTACAATGGTTTTTGGCATGACGATTCGAGCTGTTGCAACCATTCTCAACATATTTTCAAATTCCACCTTCTTGT